TGAATAGACCCCATAGTGTGAAGTGAAAGTGACATTAAAGTCAAAGGGTTAATAAACTATCTCACATGCTGATGAAATCACTTACACTAGATACTGCTCCTTGATGTTTAAACGTTTCAGTTGCCTGGCATGTCTGCGGAATCAAATGGTACCCTGAGCACAGGTCCTGATATATTTATATTTTGCGGTCACATTGGGGAGATTTCCCTTTACTTCCTGTTCTAGGGATGCAACCGGAAATCAGAGGAAACCTCTACAAAGTTATGGAAATTCCCCTCTTAGACAGTTGTCATCACAACATGTTTACCCATTGAAAGATTTGACCTCACCTCTTATTTTAGTGACAACTGTAAAATTGTGGATTTCCCATCACGTTTTGTCCTGGTGACAAAGGTCACCACAGCAAATGGAGCGGGTGAACCCAGTGGGGACAGAGAAAGTTACATGTGACTATACGTTCATTTTAATATTTCTAAAACGGCAAACGTTATGGGAACTTTATTGGAACCCATCTTTACAGTCAATCCTGCAGGTTGTATGCAAATGACAATGACAGGAACTTCTTTTTATTTCTATATTGTGTATATTTTGTCAGAAAGTAAGTAGGGTTTCTAAAGCAATGGAGGGATGCATGTAGACTGTAATACACTGGTATGACCACAAGTTTGCATATCGGGAGTTCTCACTTCACTCTGGCTTCACTGTATACATTCCTGTGCTATTTAAAGTGACATTACAGTCACAAATACCTCCCCCATTCTGCTTTAAGGGCTTACCTTAAATGATGCCTCTTGATTTGATCATCTTCCTCTTTCCAGTAGTTTTCAGGAGTCCTTCCAGCGCTGGTGCCGGTGTCTGATCCAACGCAGACTCCTCGTGTTCCGTGGTGTCTGTCCGACATGCACGCTCCGGGCTGCGTGCATTCACCTCTGCTGTGTCTCTCTTCTCCCTGGCGAAGATCTCTACTGCGCATGCGCCCGCCCCATGATCCTTCTCAGCCACTCGAGAAGCTTCAGGTCTTTGGACGGGAGTGAGCGGTGGAGACACAGGTAAGTAATAACCTGTTTGGTCACTTTTTTTCCTTTTTAAATGTTTTTGCATATATCTACTGCTTGCTAGACAATAGTGGCAACACTAAGGAGATAACATTAATTTAAAGTAGAACTCTGGTGGGAAAAAAAGTAACCCTAGCAGTATTGCCACCCCTGCAGTGCAAGGGTTATGTGCTAATTTTATCTTTTGGGCTCAAATACAGTTGCATTACTCACCTGATTCTCAGTCTCGGTGATTCCCTCTGGGCTGCTAGACCGGTCCCCTCAGCTTCTTCTCTCCTGGGCCCCGGTGGTCTAAGGGCTGCTGACGTCACCGCGTCTAATGCAGGTTCCTCTGACCTGCATGAAACATAAGAATGCTGAGGAATACCATAGCCAGAGCGGAGGGAGAGAGAGGTGAGTGCTGATCGCTGGGGGACCGAGAATCAGGTGAGTAAAACAGCTTTATTTAAGCTCCCTAAAGGAGCACTGAAAGAAGAAAAGAACTCCACAATTACAAACAAAATAACCCTTACAGTGTGGCTACTCTCATACTGCAAGGGTTAAGTGCTTGCTTTGGTCTAGGGGCAAAAATAAAGAAGAAATACTCACCTGATCCTCGGTCCTGTGGCAGTGACTGCTCACCTCTCTCTACCTCCACTCCAGCTGTGTCATCCTCATGTCTAATGGACCTGCATTAGAGTCATAATGTCACGAGTCTTTAGACCACTGGAGCCCAGGGAAGAAGAAGCTGCAGGTACTAGTTTAGCAACCAGGTGGGACCAAGGATCAGGTGAGTATATTTTCTTTATTTTCCTCCCTAGACCAAAACAAGCTGTTAACCCTTGCAGTGCATGAGTAAGTGTTTGATTTTCTTTGGAACTGACTGGATGGAAGAAGGTTGTTGAATGATTACAGTTTTGAGTGGGCTTGGGAGAACCCAGGCAAACTAGGTTCACACACCAAGCCTTAGCTCATCGCTGCCCACAACCTATACATGATTTCATGGGTTCCTCGTGGGTACAAAGATTGGGTTTGATCTACAGAAATCAATCAGCAATTAGCTTTCCAGAAGCAGAGGAATGACCAGGGTAACATTATGCAAGTAAGTGTAAAATGTGAGTGACTGATTCTGCATTGCGCTGTATAGAGGACTACAAATCCCAGCAATAATACATGATACAGCGCAATGCGGAATTCCACCAGCTATAATGTACTATTGCTGGGACTTGTAGTGCTCTATAGCTGGTGGTATTTTTCATTGGGCTGTATAATGTATTATTGCTGGGATTTGTAGTCCCCAATACAGCAGAATGCAGAATACCACCAGCTATAGAGGACTACAAATCCCAGCAATAGTACATTATAGCTGGTGGAATTCCACATTGCGCTGTATAATGTATTATTGCTGGGATTTGTAGTCCTCTATAGCCGGTGCCATTCTGCATTGATTGCTGTATAATTTTACACTTTCCATTTCACTATATTGCACACCACACTATTTGTTTCTTATTTCCACCGCTCCAAGCTTGCTCCTGTGATGGACTACAATCTCAATACAAACTAGTAGTCCATCACTGGAGCCTTTTGTTTTGGAGCAGAGAGTCCGCACTGACCACCTGCACACACATGCACCCATGAAACTCTCTGGACCACTGGTGAGAGCCCGCACAACCCTCCTGAGACCCTTTAGACATCAGGCGGAAAACCCAGAGCAACAGAGTATGTCACTTCATATTATTCTGCATTGCTGTGTAATGTATTGATGGGATTTGTAGTCCTCTATCGCTGATGCTGTTCTGCATTGCTGTATAATGGTATTGCTGTGATTTATAGTCCGCTATAGCTGATGGTATTTTGCATTGTTGTGTAATGTATTTCTTGGAATGGTAGTTCTCTATAGCCAATGCCATTCTGCAATGCTGTACAACGTATTTCTGAGTCAGTGGCAGAACTACCAGGGTCGCAGCAGTCATGCACGCGCACAGCACTGACGTGGCATCCCTCCACTACCAGTGTGCTTTACATTTCCTAAACCGATAAATACATTCACACTACTGTTACAAGGATGGCAAAAGTGGCAGACAGGGGCGGGGAGAATGCGGGGAAGAGGCAGAGCGGGAGGGGGGCCAAGTTGCTGCACCATGGGCCTCTGGGTTGTACTTGCCCCCTGGGCTAAAAGTTGCCAGTCAGCCCCTG